CACAAAGCAGGAACGCACAGGAACAGAGTTCCAGCTGGCTTCCAAGTTGGCCACGCCCAGCAGGAACGCATTAGCATAATAGGCCACACCCAACAGCAGAAACTCATTAGGATTGGCTACAGTAGGGGTGTGTGGCCTAACATGCAAAGGAGTCCCTGCTACAAAAAAAGCCCTGGGTTTTGACAACAAACAAGGTAAAGAGAATAACAAGCAAAAGGTGGGTGTGGCTGGATAACCACACTTCTGGTGACATGGGGGTGCGGCCTAATGTGCTAATGACCTGTGCTGTCAGGGGTGTGGCCTAATAGGCTAATGAGTTTCTGCTGTTGGGTGTGGCCTATTATGCTAATGAGTTCCTGCTGGGCTTTTTTTACAAAAAGAGCCCTCCTCACACTCACTCAGCTTAGAGGGAACACTGGACCAGATGCTGGGGATGCAGAAACCCCCAGGTTTAATTTCCAGTTTTAAAAAAAGATCTCAGTCATAAATGTTGGACAACCCCTTTCTCAGCTGGAGATCCTGGAGGGCGGCAGGCTCTGACTCAGTGGAAGTCAACATGACATGTTTGTGTGGCCCAGATCAACAGTGTGGTTGATTTATCTTTTGCAGAGGGGTCGTGACTGACAGAGCTCCTGCTTGGCATGCAGAAGGTCCCAGATTCGATTCCCGGCATCTCCAGGTCAAAGGATCGGGTCGGAGGTGATGTGAACGACTTCTGCCTGAGACCCTGGAGAGCTGCTGCCAGTCTGAGTAGACAAGACTGCCCTTGACGGATTCAGTATAAGGCAGTTCCATGTGAAGACCAAGGCAGTCAACAGTGTTGGGCCAGTTGCCAACTCTCCAGGGGAGCCCCAAAGGGTCTCGGGAAGCCCCAGTGCAGGTTCCTATGGATGCCAGAGGGGGGTCAGGAGCAATGTTCCCTCCAAGCTGTGGAGTCTTGTGAGCAAAAATGCTACTTCGTGAGCTACTGGCAGTGAGCGATTTGGCTGCTGCATGAATTAGTTTGCTCTGGAGCCATCTTTCCTGAGCTGAGACAAAAATGTGTGAGCCGGAGGCTAAAAAACTGTGAGCTAGCTCACACTAACTCAGCTTAGAGGGAACACTGGTGAGGAGGCAGTGGAGTGAAACGGCCCTTTCAGGTGCCAGGTCAGGCAAGGGAGGGGTTGGCAACGTGGGGCCCGCCAGCTGACGCAGGCCCAGTCCGCCGCACCATACCACAAATTGTGTTAGTCTTTAAGGTGCTGCTGGATTCTCGCTGTTTTCACCTGGTGAAGGGAGGAAGGCATCGCGACAGTACCTCTTTGAGCAACGTCTTTTCATACTCCTGCAGCTGTTGCTGGAAACCAAAGTTGGGGCTCACGTACGAGCGGACCGTTTTGATGGCCGCCAGGCACTCTTCCCAGCCAAAGTTGGTCACCGTCATCAGGTAGGCGATCACGAGGGTGGTGCTGCGGGAAACCCCCGCTAAACTGCCACGGCAAAAAGGAAGGAGGGTTTAGACTTCCCCAAAGGGGTAGGGCAAAGCGTTCATTAGCCTGATGCAACAGCGAAGGCATCTCGCGCCTTGCACTCTTGGACACCTCCCCAGAGTTCCATCTGCGCACTGGGCAGGGTTTCCAACTGCAGGTTGGGAATTTCCTGGGGGTTTGGCAGTGGAGACTGGGGGGAGACTTCAGCATGAATGCCATGGAGTCCACCACTCAAAGCAGTCATTTTCTCCAGGGGAACTGATCTCTGCCTCCTTTAGAGCAGTTATAATTTTGGGAGGCCTCCAGGTCCAACCTGGAGGTTGGCAACGATCGCGCTGGCTCCGGCTTGCCTACAGAGTGGAATTCAAGATGGGCACCCTTGTGGCTGCAGGCCACTCTGTACCTCATGGCGTGTACCTCATGGCGGGCCTGCTGGTGCCCTGCATGGCCCTCCTCTGCTGCCTCAATGACCTCCTCTTGCTGCACTGCCAGAACCCCCCCTGGAGTGGAATGATCAGCAGCCCCCGATGCCGCCTTGGCAGGTGGTGGTCTTGGGCGGCGGGCTGGGGTCGGGGGCGGCTGCAGTGGCGGGCAGTTCCGTGGGCCATTCCCGACCCCAGCCCTGCCTCTGTGGCCGGGGGCCAATGGTCAGGCCAGTTCATTGACGGCCCAGCTGGTAGCCTCGCCTAGTGTGTAAAAAAATCCTGGGGCTGGCCCTGGACCTCTTCAGAGCCCCAGAGAGAGAGAGAGACAGAGAGCCAAAGTGCTTCAACTAACTCACTGTCGATTTCTCCTGCTGATAAGTTTCAGAGGCTAGCCCTGTTGGTCTGCAGTAAAAGAGCTAGATTCAAGTCCAGTAGCATCTTAGAGACCAGCCAGATTTCCGGGTTGTAAGCTTTTGAGCATGGGGTTGCCAGTCTTCAGGTGAGGCCTGGAGATGTCTTGGGATTACAACTCATATCCAGTCTACAGAGATCAGTCCCCCCTGGATAAGATGGCTGCTTTGGAGGGTGGACTCTGTGGCATTATTCCACTGCTCTTCAAATCCCACTTTCCCCAGGCTCCGCCCCCAAATTGCCAGGAATTTCCTAACCTGGAGTTGGCAACCACATAGAGTCAAAGCTGAGAACTGATGAAGGGAGCTTTGACTCTTGAAGGTTTACACCCCAAAAGTCTTGTTGGCCTCTAACGGGCCGCTGAATTTGAATCGAGCTGTTCTCTTACTGTCTCTGTCCGATTCAAACACACCTGCCCGCTTTCCTCACCTAAAGAAGAAGAGATTGGATTTATACCCCGCCCTGTAGCCAGGAAATAAGTTGTAATCCTAGGAGAACTCCAGCTTCCACGTGGAGGTGGGAAACCGTAGATCTCCTAATGTTCCTTTAGTTCAAGTACTGCTCTTGAGAGAACAGCTCTGAAAGAACTCATGAATGACCCAAGGTCATCCAGCAGCTGCATGTGAAGGAGTGGGGAATCAAACCCGGTTCTCCCAGATTAGAGTCTGCACACTTAACCTCTACACTACAAACTGGTTACCTCCCCCCAGGCTTTGTCTAGTTCCCAAACAGGGAGGCCATTTGTTAACAAAGAAGAACTCAGCTTAGAGGGAACATTGGTTGTGGGTGCTTTGAAAAGTGTAAAGGCACAGCTCTGAGTGAAGAGAAAGCAAAGGGATGTTGTGAGTATGAGTATAGAGTAGCCAGTTTTGGGTTGGAGAATACCTGTTGATCTTGGGGGTGAAGCCTGAGGATGATGGGGTCTGGGGAGGGAAGGGAGTTCAACGGGGTGTAATGTCCCCAAGTCCACCTTCCAAAGGGGCCCTTTTCTCCAGGGGAACTGATCTCTGTTGCCTGGAGATCAGTTGTATTCCCAGGAGACCTCCAGCCAGGGGTCATTTCCTGTGAGAGCGCACAGGAGCGGAGCTCCGGCAGTAAAGAGCCCAGGGGCGGGCACATGCAACAAGCCACGCCCCCTGCTCCCAGCAGCCCTCAATCAGGCCAGAAGAGCAAGAAGTAGCCAGGTAAGTTGCAGACCCGCCCACCCACCTTCAGGTACAAGTTTTCCCTCCTCTGTGAGGGTAGAACTGCGCATCCTCCCCCCAATAGCTAGCAATCCAAAACAGTCCAGTGGAGCCTGAGCGGTGGGTGTTGCCTTCTGCCACACTTCCGGTGATGTCAGGGGGTGTGGCATATGCAAATAAGTTATGATAATGAGTTATGCTAATGAGCTCATGCGCCTCTTTTTCTACAAAATGACCCCTGCCTCCAGCCATCACCTGGTGATTGGCAACCTTAAGAGTAATGTGACCTCTTTGGATTACTTTCCATTCTTTTCTATTTTCCCCAGCTCAGCCTGAATTTAGTTCTAAGGCATTTGTAGGGCCTTAAAATGATGCCTGTTTTGCAGAGCAATTGCATGCTTCTTTGCAGAGACACTGGGCATTCATGTGCACTGTAGTGTGTCCCACACATTGGGGAAGAAAAAAGGAAAACAAGCTCACCAATGAATGAGGCATCTTCCTCCATGCAGCCGACATTCGTGAACAAACCTGATGCTCTCCTTAAAATGCTGCAACCTGGGAGAGAAGAAAATTAATTAGTAACCAAGGAGAGAGTGTTTGCTCTCTGGTCACTTATCAACATTTTACAGACCTGTGTCACATCTTCCTCCCACCCAGTCCCCACTCTTAATAACTTAATAACTCTTGATAAGGTAAACCTCTGAATCCCAGAACCAGGAGGCAACATCAGGGGACGGCCTTGGCCTCTCTGCCCTGTTGTTGGCCCTCCAGAGAAACCAGTTGGCTACTGTGTGAGAGAAGATGCTGGACTAGATGGACCACTGGTCTGATCTAGCAGGGCTCTTCTGATGTTCTTATGAAGGCCTCGGCCTCTCTGCTCTGCTGTTGGCTGTCTGGAAGAACTGGTTGGCTACTGTGTGAGATACGATGCTGGACTAGATGGACTTTCAGTCTGACCCAGCAGGGCTCTTCTGATGTTCTTATGAAGGCCTCGGCCTCTCTGCCCTGTTGTTGGCCGTCCGGAAGAACTGGTTGGCCACTGTGTGAGACACGATGCTGGACTAGATGGACCACTGGTCTCATCCAGCAGGGCTCTTCTGATGTTCTTATGAAGGCCTTGGCCTCTTTGCCCTGTTGTTGGCCGTCCGGAAGAACTGTTTGGCTACTGTGTGAGACACGATGCTGGGCTAGATGGACTACTGGTCAATTCCAGCAGGCCTCTTCTTATGTTCTTAACTTCTAGCACAAGATGTTTTACAATGTAAAAAAGGTGCTGCGGCCACCCCATCATCCAGCATTACAATCCTTAATGTTGCTAATAATTAAATTAGCTGCCACCACTTTATCTAAGGCTGTAATCCATACCGCCTTAGATAAAGATTTAAGACTCACTGAACACATAACATTGGGCTGAATGCTGCACTTTCAGGCACTTTCGTTAACTCTCGGGTTGCCAACTGATCAGAGGGACAACACAGGCTGGCCTGCTGCTGTGCCTTTGAGGCCAGCACTGCAATTACCCCCTCCCCAATAGTAGTATACTGCTATTAAAGGCACAGCAGCATTGGCCAGCAATGCCGAAATCTCAACAAATTACTCAACCTGGAGCTGACAATCCCAGTTCATGCAAGGGATTCTGCAGAGGTGTTGCTAGTCAGAACAGAAGGCACTAGGAAAGGTGGGCGGTTTGTCAGGTGGTCTCAGACAGCTTCAGATGTAGGGGCTCCAGTGTCAGGGTCATCAGCTGCAGGCTGGGAAACCCCTGGAGATTTAGCGATGGAGCCAGAGTTTGGGGAGGGAGCTCACTGGGGACGCGATGCCCTAGACCAGGGGTGGCCAAATTCGCTTAACAGAAGAGCCACATAGAATAAACGTCTGATGTCTGAGAGCCACAAGACATGAACAAATATCACACACATGTTTTCATTGAAAAATATGCAGACTTGTTTTTTATTAACATTAATTGAGGCTGCCAAAAATAAAAACAAAAGGGGTAAAAACAGATATAGATAATGATATTTGACTTTAGATGGGGAGGGAGGGAGGAAGGAAGGAAAATGGGGGAGGGGAGAGAGAGGTGGAAAGAAAGCAACTTTAACTTTAAATGCATCTTCCAAGACTCCCACGCCAGCTGGCTTGAAAAAGGCATTTAAAGAGACAAATGCCTTTTCCAAGCTAGCTGGTGGGGAGTGTCTTTAATAAAGCATTTAAAGTTGCTTTCTTTCTCTGCTCCCACCCCCCATCTCAAGCCTACCTAGGGAGGGGAACACTGGCTCGGGAAGGGAAGAATGATCGGGGAGGCCGGCCTCCCTTTCGCTTCCCCAGCCACCCTGTTGGGAGCCACACAATATGCTCCCGAGCCACAGTTTGGCCACCTCTGCCCTAGACCCCAACCTTCGCTGCTACTATTTTCTTTAGAGGGACTGATCCTGGTACTGATCCTGCATGCACTGCCTATTCAGATAGAGTTTGCACCTGCGCATCTGGTGAAACTGAGACGTTGACACACCTCCTTTTGTTTTGTCCCCACTGGATAGCGCCTAGGTCCTATTTTAACAAAATATCATCTTCCACTTGAGTTATGGGTGATCGCTTATTTGCTGACAGATACTAACCCAGCGATTACTGCTTCAGTAACAAGGTATTTAGCAACTATAATTGCATTGAAGCGTAAATAGGGGATACTATTGGAAATCTTGTATTTATTTATCTTAACTATTTTAAACAATATGTTCATAATGTTTTATACTGATTATATTCTACTGATTTGGAGATGCTCACTGTTTTAGTTTTAGTTTTGATGTTTCAACACAAACTGTATTTTATGCAAGTGCTTGAGACCTTTGGTCATGTAAGCTGAAATAAATAATTCCCTGGCTCCCTGGAAGGCCAGATACTGAAGCTGAAGCTCAAATACTTTGGCCACCAAATGAGAAGGGAGCACTCACTGGGGAAGACCCTGATGCTGGGAAGGATTGAAGGTCAAAGAAGACGGGGACGGCAAAGGATGAGATGGTTAGACAGTGTTATCGATGCAACGAGCATGAAATTGAGCAAACTTCAGAGGACAATGGAGGACAGGAGGGCCTGGCGAGATCTTGTCCATGGGGTCGCGAAGAGTCGGACTCGACTGTGCGACTGAACAACAACAAAGTCTGGTCAGAGTTGTAATTCTGGGAGAACTCCAGCCCTTGCCTGGAGGTTGGCAACACTAATCCGTGTGTGTGTGTGTGTGTGTGTGTGTGTGTGTGTGTGTGTGTGTGTGTGTGAGAGAGAGAGAGAGAGAGAGAGAGAGAGAGAGAGAGAGAGAGAGAGAATGCCTGTGTATACATAATGGGAGGATGGTCATTATTCTTAGCAAAGAGAGCAAGGGTGTAGTCTGGTATATTTGGCCTTAAGACCTGTTGGCCCTAGGCAACCATTACCGTTCCAAATTAAATCCCAGTGCTGGGCATAGGTTTGTCTGACATCTGGCAGGAGGATAGGGGTTGGAGACATGGGGGAGGGTACATGACATCACCTTTGTCCCCACATCAGCTCCGAGAAAAACTTGGAAGTGGCATACGGTAGCTCTAGGAAGCGCCAGGCAGTCTACGGTAAAACCACAAAGTTTTTAGATTCCTAGCAGTACCCTACTGTCACTTCCTCCCCCCCCCCCAGAAGTGATTTAGCAATGCAGCTAACATCGCAACAGAACAAAAAAGCAAAACAGAACTGGGGGGGTGGTACCCTGCCCCCACTGGGGGACCGGCCCCCATCCTCTGCTCATACAAGTATCCCATTCTGATAACTTATCCCTATGCACAATCAACACATGGACCCACAGTGAGGGAAAGCAGATGCTGTGACAGCTCTGTGAGTGAACTATTTGTTTACAAAAACCTATCTGGAAGATCCCAGGCAAAACTGGCATGACTTAATAACAAAACCCTCAAATGACTCCAGTTCGGGCCTCAGTTCTCCTTTAGTGGTGCTGCCAAAGCTGCCGGAAGTCAGCAGTGTAGCCGTGACGAATCCTGCCCCGAGGACACAGCCCCCCCCCCCAAGGAAAACAGAGCATGAGTCTGCTTCCTGGATCCATCGGGATCAACATGAGTCTGCTTCCTGGATCCATCGGGATCAACAGTCCAATATCTGTGCCCTGATCTACCCGCAGCCTGGGAGCGCTGATTGTCCGTGGCTGTGTGGCGTGGACGGACCACCTAAGATCATCCCAAGCCACTCCTTTCTCATGTCGACGCTCGGAAAACCCTTTCTAAGTTCACCACGATTGTGAAACCCAAAGGCTCAAACAGTGTGCAGAAAATAGCCCCTTTAAAGGGAAGCTTCCTTCCTTTGGTCCATCGCTTTTGGGCATGATGTGATTGCAAAAAACAGGAATGAAAAAAGGGGAGGGGGGAGAAACACCCCAGCGTTGCTGAAACAGGACTATCCCCCCCCACACACACACACCCTTGACGCTTCTGCACATTCTGCTTAATGGGAATATTCTTTTGGGAGGGTGCTACGGCCCCGCCTATAAAGTCCTGCGAGCAGGGGTCATTTCGTAGAAAAAGAGGTAGGGGAACTCATTAGCATAACCAGCCTTGCAGCTCCACTGCCGAGCCCCATGAGGGGCCCGGTGGTGGACCTGCAAGGCCAGTGGGAGTGCAAGGAAGCCCCGCGAAGGCCCTCCCTGGCCCCAGGCAGGCAGGGGTGGGGAGAGGCAGGGAGGAAGCAACTTACCCTCCCTCTTCTCCTGCCTCCTCCTGGCTGAATGAGGGCCGGAAGCGGGGCGACCGGAAGCAGGGGGCGGGGCTTCGTCATGTGCCCCGCCCCCCGAACCTCACCCGGGGGAACTGTGTTCCCCCCCAGAAATGACCTCTGCCTGCGAGTCTGGGAAAGACCCTTTGGTGCCTGAAATTCTGGAGAACTCCTGTGAGTCAGAGAGCACGCAGGAGGAGGGGAAAGGGGGTGGGGAACTGACTCGGTGGCTGCTCCCTCCCTTTCCATCCCACTATTTAACCAGTGATTGGTGGCTGGTTTCCCTGTGATGATGTGGTTTTTGTCTGTTCCAGTGTACAGGTCGACGAAGCATGGGGGTGACAGAAGCAGGCCCACAGACAGTATACATCTCATGATGCTGCTCCTTACAATTCCAAGAAACTCTGCACACAGCAAGATCCAAACTGTTCTCCTGTGAGACTTCAGAGGAATCCCCTATCAGATGAAGGAAACTTTTTTTTTCCCCATTCGCCCTGCTCATTCCAAACATGTGGCTTGGAAGGGACAGTACAGTAGAGCGCTCTCTCTCTCTCTCTCTCTCTCTCTCTCTCTCTCTCTCTTCTATCTATCTATCTATCATCTATCTATCTCCTTCTCTTCTGACCTACAACTCTTGGTTTCGCACTGCCAAGAACCCTACGTGTCTCTGCTGGTTCAGGACTTTTCGGTGGCGACTCCTATCTGGTGGAATGAGCTCCCAGAGGAGATCCGGGCCCTGCGGGACCTCGTACAGTTCCGCAGGGCCTGCAAGACGGAGCTCTTCCGCCAGGCTTTTGAATAGGAGCCGCCGCCACCCAGTGCCGGATTTACACATAAGCTAAGGGCCTTAGGGCTTAGGGCCTCGCAATCTGCTGGAGCCTTATTTGTCCTTTTAAAACCCTTTAATTATGTGATTATTTCTGTGATTTTGTAAACACATCCTTTATTATTTTTGTTAATAAAAATTAAAAGACAATGTATTTTCAAATATTAAAAAGGCGTATATATTTTAAATTTTTCTAAGACCAGCTGATGTAATTTAAAACAGTAGGGGGCCTCTGGGTTTTGTATAGCTTAGGGCCTCAGCAAGTCTAGATCCGGCCCTGCCACCACCACTGCTCCACCAACGCCTTATAATTCCCGCACACTGCCATCACTGGTGCGGGTTCCATCGGAGGGAGTGGGACATGCCTAGGGACAACAGGGGGGGTACGGTTAGGCAACTATATCATGGAGAGCACCATCTTGATTGTAAGAATTTGGAAATGAGTAGAGAGCACCGGAAAGTGTTTTAAGAACTTTTGTAAATTATTTAATTGCTTATTTTGTAATTGTAGTCAGAATTTTACTGTTTTATTGTTATTATCTGGCGTTATGCCCCTGCTAGCCACCCTGAGCCTGCGGGGAGGGCGGGATAGGAATCCAAATAAATAAATAAATAAATTTATGCTCACAACAACCCTGCGAGGTAGGTCAGGCCGAACAAGAGTGGCTAGGCTAAAAGTAACTAACCCATTAATCGGTCTCCATCAGCAAATAGTTGCATCACGCTTAAGACAGAATGAGAAACCCTCGAGCCAATAGCCCTAACCCAATTAAGGATATCTAAATAAAGCAATAAAGTAAACATATATTGACGTCAGAAGCTAAAGAGGTCCCTGGGCACACCCAAGCATTTCCCCACATTCAAAGCTTTTGACCCCCCAGGACCTTGTAGTGCATCAGATGCTGCCCCAGAGAGGACTTCAGTTTTGGGTAAGTGGCTTCTTGGGTGGCGGAAGAGGATTGTGAATCTGCACATTATTACGCGTCGAACTAATTTAAAAGCCCAGCGTGTTTCGTATGCAATGCAGGCAACCAGAACACATCTCCGTGACGAACAGATGAGGAAAACCTCAACATTCCCCCAATGAAAGATGGTGGGTATGTTGAGAGCACAAGCTAAAAACAAAACAGACCAAAAACCCCCCCACAAAAAACGGAGAAAGGACTTACAGGTTTTGATTAGAGGAGTCTGAAGCAGATATGCAGAGATAGGTCATGTCCTGCAAAGATAAGACACACTTCAAGATGTCTGCAGTGGTATCAGAACCAGAGTTTACCATCTATTCACTCCCCAAACCATTTTGAAAGTACTCTCAGAGGTCATTTCGGGGGGGAACGCAGTTCTCCCGGGTGAGGTGCAGGGGGCGGGGCACATGATGAAGCCCCGCCCCCTGCTTCCGGCCGCCCCGCTTCCAGCCCTCATTCAGCCAGGAGGAGGCAGGAGAAGAGGGAGGGTAAGTTGCTTCCTCCCCGCCTCTCCCCACCGCTGCCTGCCTGGGGCCAGGGAGGGCCTTGGCGGGGCTTCCTCGCACTCCCGCTGGCCTTGCAGGTCCACCGCCGGGCCCCAGATGTCAGGGTGTGTGGCATATGCTAATGAGTTATGCTAATGAGTTCCCCTAGCTCTTTTTCTACGAAATGACCCCTGAGTACTCTCATTATTTTATGCAATGAGGCCAGCAGAGATGTTAGAAGCCGGCGGAGAAGGGCTTTCTCTCTTCCCTCATTTTCTCACGGAATATTTCCCCACCCCAACTGTTTTAGTCCAACCGAGGAAAACAAAGTTGTAAGTTTTCCCCAGCAGAGATTTTTAAAAAGTGGATGGGGATTACAGCTCATCTCCAGACTACAGGGATCAGGTCCCCTGGAGGGAATGGCTGCTTTGAAGGGTGGCCTATGGCCTTGTACCCCACTGCGGCCCCTGTCCTCCCCAGGCTCCACCCCCAAATTTCCAGGAGTTTCCCAACCTGGATATGGCAACCCTGCCCCTCCCAACCCCGCCGGTCACCAGCGGGGACCTGGCAACCCCAGACAGAGACCTTTTTCAGAGGGCAAACAGCCCAAGGGCAAAAAGGTAAAATTGCGGTCCCCCTCCCCCGTTACCCTTTATAGAGCATTAGGTAAAGGTTTCCCTTGCTCGAAAGCCAGTCGATTCTGACTCTAGGGCTGCGGTGCTCATCTCCATTTCCAAGCCGAAGAGCCAGCGCTGTCCGAAGACTTTTCCCGTGGTCATGTGGCCGGCATGACTAAGCACCAAGGCGCACGGAACACTTTTGCCATCCCCACCGAAGGGCTCTTTTTGTAGCCGGAGCTCCTTTGCATATTAGGCGACACACCCCTCATGTAGCCAATCCTCCAAGAGCTTACAGAGCTCTTCTTACAGGGGCTACTCTAAGCTCTTGGGGGATTGGCTACATCAGGGGTGTGTCGCCTAATATGCAAAGGTGTTCCTGCTACAAAAAGAGCCCTTATCTACTTGCAGCTTCTCGCTTTCGAACTGCTAGGTTGGCAGGAGCTGGGGCCAGAGACGGGAGCTCACTCCGTCACGGGGCACTCGGGTCTCAAACAGCCGAACTACGGACCTTCCGGTCTGCAGCTTCAGCGTCTTAACCTCTGAGCCACCGCGGCCCCTTTATAGAGCATTACCAGCAGGTATACTATATAAAATTTTACAAGTTAATTAAAAGGATTATCGAAGCACACATGAGTTGTAATTCCGCCCTTTGTGGCACTACGAACTTCACCCTTGAGAGATAACAAGCACGCTCTGGATTCCCTTGATCAGAGAGGACAGAAAGGGAAACCAAAAGCCTGATCTTTACTAAGGACATTGACCCCCCTTTCAGCTCAGTGCAACCTCCGACTAAGAGACACAACTGAATTCTGCGTAGAAGGCAGCAGGTGGGACCTCCAGGTGGGACCTGGAGATTCTTCATGGCCTACGGTGCCACCCCACAAGGTGGGCCCCCCACTAGGATTGCCAACCTGCAGGTGGTGGCTGGAGATCTCCCACTCTGACAACGGATCTCCAGGCGAAAGAGATCCGTTCCCCTGGAGAAAATGGCTGCTTTGGCACATTACCCTGTTTCAGCCGGTTTCAAGCCGTTATTGATCCGTCTGGGATTAAACCGGTACAGGGCTGCCACTTCACACAAGGCTTTCCCCTACCAGAAAAGAGCCAGATCAGAAGCGGTTTGCCATTTCAGACTGCACTACTTTTTCCTGCTTTTTCTTGCCATTTTTCGCCCGCGCGGACGATCTCCGGCTTTGTTTTTTTTTAACGTTCGCTTTAGAGCGCTATAGCGCTATAACACAACACTACATGCATTCCAATGGGGTTGCTATAATGCCGTTTTGCTGTTGTGTAATAGTGCTATAGCGCTCTAAAGCGAACGTTAAACAAACCCAAAACCCCGGAGATCGCCCGCTTGGGTGAAAAACAGCGGGGAAAAAGTGTTTCAGATCCGGGAGAAGAAACTGAAGACTACTTGGAAGTGGTTTACAGGTAAAACGGTTCAGCCCCGTTTCCTGAACGGGACAGAAGCGTTTGTGTGTGAAAGTACAAATATATTCCGGTAGGGAACCAGTTCTAAAACGGTTCTGTCTGAAATGTCAGACTAGAAACCGTTTGGGAACCGTTCCTGAACCGGACTGAAATTCCTCTGTGGCACTATAACTCACTGCGGTCCCTCCCCGGGCTACACCACCCCAAATCTGCAGGGATTTCTCATCACACCACAAAGTCACTCTGCCAGAATGAACTCCTATTTTGCTGCCAGCTTCCTGTCCTCCACTAGCGACCTCTGCCACGACGGCCGTGGTGCCTGGGAACAAAAGCTTGGCTTTGCAGTTTTCTCGAGCCAGCTCTGTGATTGACACATTGCTCAATGCATCCATGTGTTTCCCGTTCCCCTTTTCGGTCTCCAGCCCTGCCCCCCCCCCAGCGTGTTGTAAGACCTCTGTGTGGAATCGCCATCGGTCTAGAGAGTCTGCAGGGCTGCAGTCCAAGCAGCTGCGGCTTGGGTGGGGGCGGTTCCTCACGGCTTTGATTCCCCCCCCTCCTCCTTCTCGCTCTTCCTCTGCAGCATTAGTCAGTATCTCTTACCAAGGAACTGGCTTTCATGTGCGTTCATGGGAAGCATAACAGTAGCAGCTTGACAAAGGGGTCCCGCCTAAGACCACCAGCAACAGGTCTCACATCTCCCCCACCCAGAGCAGTTGATCCTCCTTCCTCCACAGTGCAGCAAACTGTTGGGTGTTACAAGTTAAAACACTTCAGTATTTACTGGGTTAATTATGTTTGTTAAGTCACATGTTTGTTTATAACCAATCTTTTTAGATTATAGGAAGCCCGGGAACTTCGGAGCTAGTTTACTACTCTGATTGGAAACAAAGTGTCAAGTATTAGCATTTGATGGCTTCTCTTCCGTCTTTGTGTTTCTTTGTTCTGACTAGAGAAGGAGACGCCGTTCTTCCAGTTTTACCTTCTAGCTGTAAGGATGTAGACCATTTAGCTCTTTGTTATTTTATATCCTGTGTGCCTTTTTCCCATGCTTGGTTATAGTAAACTTTTATATTCTTTTAAAACACACCATGGACTCAGTCTCTTTAATACTCTGCTGACAAACTTTAAATAAGAATCCCAACACAAGCTCTGGATACCCAAGAAGGCTGCCTCCTGCGCTCTGGATAGGGTTGCCATCTCCAGGCTGAGAAATTCCTGGACGTTTGGGGGTGGAGCCTGGGGAGGGTGGGGTTTGGGGAGGATATGATGCCGTACAATCCACACACACACATCCAACTCTGTCGTTTCCTCCAAGGGAACGGATCTCTGTAGTTTGAAGTTCAGTTATAATTCCAGGGTATCGCCAGGGCCCACCTGGAGGTTGTCAACTTTCGATCTGGCACTTTCTAAGAGCTTGGCATGCTATGTTAGGTGTGCATGGCTTGCCGTGCTGTGTTCAAAGAGGCACGCCACCAGAAACACTACTTTACACAGAGAGTGATTAAAATGTGGAATTCGCTGCCAGAGGGTGTAGTGATGGCCACAGGAATAGACAGCTTTCAGAGGAGATTAGACAGATTCATCATGGGGAACAGATCTATCGATGGCTACTAGCTATGGAGACTGAGGGAAACCTCCACGTTTAGAGGCACTAAACCTCTGAATCCCAGAGACAGGAGGCAACATCAGGGGAAGGCTTCGGCCTCTCTGCCAGAGGAACCATTGGCCACTGCGTAAGACAGGACGCTGGACTAAGATGGACCACTGGTCTGATCTAGCAAGGCTCTTCTGATGTTCTTATGAAGGCCTCGGCTTCTGTGCCCTGTTGTTGGCCATCCAGAGGAACTGGTGGGCCACTGTGTGAGACAGGATGCTGGACTACATGGACTTTCAGTCTGATGCAGCAGGGCTCTTCTGATGTTCTTATGAAGGCCTCAGCTTCTGTGCCCTGTTGTTGGCCATCCAGAGGAACGGGTGGTTCCACTGTGTGAGACAGGATCCTGGACTAGATAAACCACTGGTCTGATCCAGCAGGATTCTTCTAATGCTCTTATGAAGCCCTCTACACTTTGAAAGCCACCGTCTTGCCTTACCTCATTATGGAGCCACGAAAGCCTTGGAAGCAAAAAAAAGGCCTCAGCTTCTGTGCCCTGTTGTTGGCCATCCAGAGGAACGGGTGGGCCACTGTGTGAGACAGGATCCTGGACTAGATAAACCACTGGTCTGATCCAGCAGGATTCTTCTAATGCTCTTATGAAGCCCTCAGCCTCGGTCTCTACGCTTTGTTGTTGGCCATCCAGAGGAACGGGTGGGCCACTGAGACAGGAGGCTGGACTAGATAGACTTTCAGTCTGATCCAGTAGGGCTCTTCTGATGTTCTTATGCCCGGAGGAGGGAAAGGGTGTTCACAGCTACAGTGCGGGGATGATGATGGTGAGAGGCAAGGCAGCGGGGCAGAAGCTGAGGCTGTCCCCTGCCACTTGTCCATCTGAAGCCACCGTCTTGCCTTACCTCATTATGGAGCCACGAAAGCCTTGGAAGCAAAAAAAATCAAGCAAGGCCTGACTGTCCTCAGCCACCGAAAGCCCAAGGAAACAGCCTTCGACTCCGGTGCTCAACACAACACTCCTTAACCAGCCAGTATGGTGTAGCGGTTAAAGTGTTGGACTGGGATCTGAGAAACCCAGGTTCGAATCCCCACTCTGCCATGGAAGCTCACTGGGTGTCCTTGGGCCCAGTCACCCACTCTCAGCATAAGCTACCTTGCAAGGTTATTGTTAGCCTAAAATGGAGGAGAGGATAATCATGTAAGTTCCTTTGGGTCCCCATAGGGAAGAAAGGTGGGATTTGAACAAAGTAAATAAATAGATAAAATAAACTCACAGCCTTCCCATTGGATTAGCTTATAGAAGGGTTCAGGTGCCCCCTCCCCTCCCATTTTACTGCCACCACAATCCTACCAGGTAGGTTACAGCTGAGACAGAGTCAGAGGTCCAAAGTCACCCAGTGAGCTTCAGGGCTGAGTAGGTTTTCAAACCTGGATCGGCTTGGTCAGAGTCTTAGCTTGTTACTGCTGTTTAGTCTTTGCACACGTCAGAATAGCTTCATTAAGTTGTATGCTATTTGCTGTTCACCTATGTAGAGGCACCTGCCTATATATGTGAACCGCTAAGGTCCATTTCAATGTATCTGAGGAAGTGAGCATGCACACAAGAGCTCCTACCTTGCATAAACTTTTGCTAGTCTTAAAGGTGCCCCTGGATTCAAAGTGTGTTCTGCCGCTTCAGACCAACACCTGGATATAAAATCCTGCACTGTCGGCGAAACCACAGTGACACTGTAAGGCAAACAGACGCAAAAAAAAGTCTCATGGGATGAACACAACTATCCCTGTATTCGGAGATGGTGTCAGAGGGTAGCCCTGCTGGTCTCCAGTTAAACAGGGTCGATTCCAGTCGCACCTTCGAGACTAAGAAGAGTGTCAGGGTACAAGCGGTCAAGAATCAAAGCTCTCTTCGACAGACACCGCTTTTTAGATTCAGGTGAGTAGCCATGTTGGCCAGAAGCAGCCGGACAAAGTCTGAGTCCAGCGGCACCTTTAAGACCAACAGAGTTTTAACTCTGGGGATAAGCTTTCCTGTGCTGGCACCCTTCTTCGAATAGGTTTTTGGAGCTATACTGCCCTCCAGTGTCTTTGATGGCATCTGGTCTCTTTGTGAGTAAACTTCAAACATTTCATAACCCTGAATGAACAGGGTGGCAACTGCAGGCCAGAGGGAATGATGGCTCGCCCCTGAATTGCTGAAATACTGTACCTTTCTTCCAGTTGCTACCTTTAGAATTTGATTAGCGCTCTCCTATGGTTAAGACGCTGAACTGCAGGCTGAGGAAGGTCGGTAGTTCAGCAGTTCGAGACCCGAGTGCGCCGCGTGACAGAGTGAGCTCCCGTCTCTAGTTCCAGCTCCTGCCAACCTAGCAGTTCGAAAGCAAGAAATTGCAAGTAGATAAATAGGTACCACTTCAGTGGGAAGGTAACAGCGTTCCGTGCGTCTTGGTGTTTAGTCATGCCGGCCACGTGACCACGGAAACGTCTTCGGACAGCGCTGGCTCTTCGGCTTTGAAACGGAGATGAGCACCGCAACCCTAGAATCGGACTCAACTGGCTTTCGAGCAAGGGAACCTTTACCTTTACCTTTTTATACAGAGTTACTCCCGTCTAAGCCCAAAGGGCTCACGTGGATCTCCATCCCCTGCTGATTTCTTTACACTTTTTCATTTTCAATTTTTTCATTTTCATTTATTTGATTCCATTTTCACCCTGACTTTCTCCGCAATGGGGACCCAAAGCAGCTTATATGGTCCTCCTCTCCTCCATTTTTATCCTCACAACAGCCCTGTGAGGTAGGTGAGGCTGAGAGGGCATGACTGGCCCAAGGTCACCCAGTGAACTTCCGTGGCACGAGTGGAGATTTGAACTCGGGTCTTCCAGATTCTAGTCCAGCACTCTTAACCACTGCATCACACTGCCTGTGTTTGTTTGTATGCAAAGAGCCGGCAGCCCTACTTCCGATTCCATGTGAGTTAGCTTAAGACAGGTATAACTTGGCATCGGATGGCATAGCGATTCGGCTAATGCCCGGCTACTCCCGTTCCCCTCCATACTCACTTCCAGCCCAGGCTTGGCACTGTTGTGGACAGACAGGATGTGTGTGATCCCGTGCTTTCCCAGGTTCTCCCTGTCTTCAGAATCTGTAAGCACACAAACACACAAAAATTGGTTTCGGAAGGTCACCGTGTTGGTCTTCAGCGGTAGAGCAATTAGGCTGCAGTCCAGTAGCCCTTTAGAGAGCAACCTTTTCAGGTCAGGCACTCCCAAGGTAGAGAAGAGGAGAGAAGAGATTGGATGTATACCCCGCCCTTCACTACCCAAAGGAGTCTCAGAGCGGCTGACAAACTCCTTCCCCTTCCCCTCCCCACAACAGACACCCTGTGAGACAAGTGGGGCTGAGAGAGCTCTCTCGAGAACTGCCCTTGAGAGAACAGCTCTAAAAGACCTTGACTGACGCACGATCACACCAGCAGCTCAATAGCCAGGCGTCCTAAACCAACACTGAGCGCCTGTCACCAAGGTGTACTTAGAGACAGAGAGACGAGAAGCAGCTTCAAAACACATACCCCTGATGTTTCCGAGGTACAGGCCCTCCACAATCTGCAAAGAGGTCAAGAGGCAGAGTTAGCACTGAAAAGGCTGTCGCTTGTAGGGTTGCCACCTCCAGGTCGGGGAATCCTTGGGGATTTGGGGGTGGAGCCTGGGGAGAGCAGGGTTTGGAGAGAGTAGAGAATTCAGCAGGGTATAATGCTTCGGAATCCACCCTCCAAAGCAGACCATTTCCTCCAGGGGAGCTGCTCTTGTCATCTGGGGAGGAGCTGTCATTCCAGGAGACCTCCAGGCCCCACCTGGAGGCTGGCAACCCTAGGCTGTGACAGTTCAATCGATGGGTTGTGTGACCAGCTGGCAGCAAGCTGCCAAAAGTTCTTTCATGTATCTGTACTAGGTATAAGCCCTCCCTTCCATAGGGCGAATGTATTTGGCCTCTCATGCACATATTTACCCAGACTCGCATGCGCACATCTCTAGCTTGCATTCCTTTCCATGAACGCTAGTCCTCCTTTGATGTAATGCTATCTTGCCAAGGCCACAGGTGGAAGAGCACAGCCAGCTTTGCTTAGTCTTTAATGAGCAGTAGTGTGGGAATAGTACAATTGTTTCTGTTTTAAGAAACCGTTGTTTGTCAGGGTTTGGGCGTGAGCCGGGCCGTTTGGCCGCGCGCGGGGGAACCATATCTATTGGCTATTGCAATAATGAACCTGCTTTATCTTACCTGGCCCCGCACATTTTGTTATTCTGAACAATGACTATGTTCAAGTACTTCATGGCTTCAATAAAGTAAAACCTTTCTACAAGTGTGTACTTCATTGCCTGCTGTGGGGCCTGGCACCAGCCCTCTCTGAGTGACTTCCAGGCACAGGTCAATCCTCCATTCAGAGCAGAGAAGAAGCGGAATCCCGTTGGATGCTAATTTCTGTCTACAGAGACATCAGCCGTCCATCCGAGGCATGTCATGGCTGGCAGGGGGTTGCCAAGTCCTCCCTGGCCATCAGCAGGGAGCAGGAGAAGGGTTGCCAGATCCAGGTTGGGAAACTCCTATGGAGGTTTGGGGATGGAGCCTGGGGAGGACAGGGACCTCAGCGGGATACAATGCCACAGAGTCCACCCTCCAAAGCATCCATTGTCTCCTGGGGAACTGAGGCCGGGAGATCCCCAGGCCCAACCTGGAGGCTAGCATCCCCTGCTGGCTGATGGTAAGTTGCAGGGGTCATTTAGTAGAAAAAGAGGTGCAGGAGCTCATTAGCATAACTCATTAGCATAACTCATTTGCATGTGCCATGACCCCTGACGTCACCGGAAGTGTGTCAGAAGGCAACACCCACCGCTCAGGCTCCACTGGACTCTTTTGGATTGCTAGCTATGGGGGGGGGGGCGTGGAACGCGCAGATCCTCGTGCTCCTCGTGGCCCGGGGCTGCTGGGAGCAGGGGGCGGGGCTTGTTGCATGTGCCTGCCCCCTGGGCTCTTTACTGCCAGAGCTCTGCTCCTGTGCGCTCCTGCAAGAAATGACCCCTGGTAAGTTGTCTTGCAGCAGAAGCAGGGTTGGAAGCTTCACGCTGGGAAATACCTGGAGATTTTGGGGGTGGAGCCTGAGGAGGGTGAGGTCTGGGGAGGGGGAGGACTTTAATGGGGTGTAATGCTATAGAATGCACCTTCCAAAGCAGCCCCTTTCTCCAGGTGAACTGATCTCTGTCGCCTGGAGATCACCTGTAATCTCAGGAGCTCTCCAGCCACCACCTGGAGGTTGGCAACCCTAAGCAGAAGATGCACACAGATGGAGGAGTACCAAGCCCCGATGCCCGGAATCTTGCTCTGTGAATGGAACCGTCTCTATTTTCAGCAACCTGGCCATAACATTTCTTTTACTCAGGGCTATTTCTGGGCAGGAACGCACAGGAACGGAGTTCCGGCTGGCTCCCGAGTTGGCCACGTCCAGCAGGAACTCATTAGCATAATAGGCCACACCCAACAGCAGGAACTCATTCGGATTGGCTACATTAGGGGTGTGTGGCCTAACATGCAAAGGAGTTCCTGCTACAAAAAAAGGCCCTGGGTTTTGACCACAAACAGGGTAAACAGAATAAGAAGCAAAAGGTGGGTGTGGTTGGATGGCCACACTTCTGGTAACATGGGGGTGCGACCTAATGTGCTAATGAGTTTCTGCTGTTGGGTGGGGCCTATAATGCTAATAAGTTCCTGCTGGGCTTTTTCTACAAAAAAAGCCCTGCTTTTACTACCTTTGTGTGTGTGTGTGTGTTAACGTTTTTTATAACCAGAATTACATACCCAGAATTAAGCTTTGTGGGTCTTAAAGGTACCACTGGTCACTCAAACTTTGTTCTGTTTCTTCGGACCAACATGGCTACCCACCTGAATCCTTTTTAACCAGAGTAACTGGTGCACGTGGTTGTAGAGGCACAGGACTGGCAGTTTTTAAAAGCAGAGTCCCAGACTGTCCACCTGCTGCCTGATCCTGAGAATGCACCAGACAGGGGACAGGCAATCTAAGCAGACACTGTTCCTACCTTGACCTTTGAACCAGACCGTGGTGTGACTTTAAACCACAAGCAAGGGCCATGGCTTGGAGGTACCCGGGCTCTGTTTTGCATTGCTATAGTGACTGCTTTCTCCAAACAGCCCAAAGGCCCTGCTCCAAGGCTGCATCCAGAGGGTTATTTTTAAACCTTTGGCAGGACATGGGCATCCTAGTTTTGCAACAAGGGGGTCCCACCTCGCATTCTTTCCTCCCGCTTCTGAAGAACAGATAATATACTTATTTATTTATTTAATTCGATTTCTATCCCGCCTTGCCTGACAAGCAGGCTCAAGGCGGCGTACAATAATCATTTACAATAAAAACAGATAAAATTCTAACAATAAAATATAAAGTGCAGTTTAAATACAAACGATAAAGTACAGGTGCCGATCGTTGTCGTTGGCCCCGTATGACTAGACCAGTACCCCAAAGAAAGTGCCAGTAATAGATGTTTAGTAGCTCGTTCAGTCCTGCCAACCTAGCAGTTCGAAAGCAAGAAATTGCAAGTAGATCAATAGGGACCACTTCGGTGGGAAGGTCACAGCGTTCCGTGCGCCTTGGTGTTTAGTCATGCCAGCCACATGACCACGGAAACGTCTTCGGACAGCGCTGGCTCTTCGGCTTTGAAACGGAGAAGAGCACCGCAACCCTAGAGTCGGACTCGACTGGCTTTCGAGCAAGGGAACCTTTATCTTTAGCTCGTTCAGTGGCGGCTCCTAATCAAAAGCCTGGTGGAAGAGCTCGGTTTTACAGGCCCTGCGGAACTGGGACACATATCCATCATGTGTCATATCTTCCCATAAGGTACACAGACGTTAGGGAAGGGAGCATCTTATGCTAGAGCAGGGCTGGCCAAACTGCGGCTTGGGAGCCACATGCGGCTCTTTCACACCTATTGTGCAGCTCCCGGCAGGGCAGCTGGGGAAGCGAAGGGGAGACATACTTTTTCTTCCTCCCTTCCTTCCCCCTCCCTCCCATCTATTTGCTTTCTTGGCTCTCTCTTTCCACCTCTTTCATTCTTTCTTTCCACCTCTCTCCCTTTTTCTGTCTCTCTTAGACAAATAAATATCATTAGCAGTGGTCATTTTTCTGCAGGAGCGCACAGGAGCGGAGCTCCGGCAGCAAGGAGCCCAGGGGGCGGGCACATGCAACAAGCCCCACCCCCTGTTCCCAGCAGCCCTCAGTAAGAGCAAGAAGCAGCCAGGTAAGTTGCAGAGGCCCCCCCCCCCGCCCCCACCCCCCAGCACCCACTGCCC